AATCCAGGACGCGCGTTTCGTCCTGTTTGAGACTCGTCAGCTGGATGTAAATTAAGGCAATATCGAGGCATACGCACAGTATGCACATATGCCAATAAGAGACTGATCAATTTCAGTCCAAAAACATCAATGGGAAGATTCAAGTAAAACAATATCAAGTGAATTAAACTTCAACCCATTGCACAAGCAAGTGGCTATCAGGACTCAGTAGCTAAGTGGATAACGCGATGGCGTTTGAAGCGAACGGTACTGAGTTCGAGTCCCAGAGTGAACATCAACTCTGAGGTGCAGCTACATCCAGCTGATGAGTCTCAAACAGGAGGAAAAGCGCGTCCTGGATTCCACTGCTAGCCACTATCCATCTTTGCTTACAAACTCAGAGATGTTCAATTATATGTTCATTAAGTTACCTAGTAGTACAGTCGATAAAGCTAACTCCACAGGAACAAATGAACCTCCTAATCATCTTGTACTCACTATCGTTACATCAAACTGAAATCTGTTTCACAACTCAAATATGATCGAAAAGTGAATAATAATAAAACAGATTAACTTTACTCCTCACCACCACCACCACCCCCATAAACACACATCGAATACAATCATGACTGCACTCATTTGATGAATATTGATTTGTACAAATTTGTACTGATTTCCTGCAAAAAATAACAACCACACTATCATCACATATCACAGGAAAATACACAGAATAACTGAGACAACAAAAAAAAGAACTTCATATCACATGTTAGAACATTAAAATCAATAGAAAATTGAGTAAATGAATGCAGTAAAATACAATTGAATTAATATTCAGAAAATAAATTCAGATTCTAATAACGATCAATAATAAGTAAAGATAGATGGTGACTAGTAGTGGAATCTAGGACGTGAGATTTGGAACTATTCAACTGCATGTATCTGCATCAATAATGAAGAGAATAATTACACCGAGTTAATAATCTTGTTTCATCATTTTATCGCATCCTAACACTTCCCTATTTTTTAGCGGGTTATGTAATGAGTCAAATTAGGAATAAGATGTTTCACTGTGTAACTCTTCTATTTCCTAATTCAGCAGAGTCCTGGATCATGTTCACTTGTGTATCATCCCATTTCCCTGGGATTTATTGTTATCACTCATCATGTAAAATGATTGCACTAGTGTGACCGTCGATGACAATCGGATATATTTGACACAAAATTACAGAACGTTTCAATAAAATCTGAGAACTATATATTAAATCATTAATTTGCAAAATGTCCACCAATTGTCTCAAAATGCCTCAAACTTCATTGCTGCTACATTTTCACATGAATTGCATTCCATTCTCGCTCTTGCTTTCTTGATCTTCCCTCATTTTCTGATGCGAGACATTTCATTCCTGACTCGCATAATATACTACTTATATCAATATGAGTAGCGCACACCACAGCGTTACCACAGTTTTTAGTTTAAGATTATAGTTGAATAACAACGTGTCAGATCATGACTTTCAATCCACTCAGATCACTGAGATTCGTTCTATGACATCCATTTTCGGCAAGTATATTCAATGATTGATGGGTTAATTAACTTTAACACTTTCATCAGTCTCGAACAAACTGAACAGGTTGTCAATGAAACAATTGGTAAATTTAAATAGCAGGCGTAAATACTGTTTGTAGGCTTTACATTATTCATTTATGAGAGTTATCCAAAGACGTTTACTATTGATGGATGATATTACATATTCCATGTTCATTTACATAAGACTCAATCAGTTAGTTCTTCATAATGAATATTAAACTTGTCTAAAGTGGTACAAACACCCTTTAAAATGTCTCCAAATGTCAAGTAGGTTGCTTTGACTAGTCATTGCTTTCTAGAAACGTCCAAGACAATTCTAGAAAACTACTAATTATGCTCTCCAATTCTTGATTCGGCAGTGTGGGAAATAGTTATCCATTTTGGTATGTTTTCCTGAAGTGTTGTAGTAGAGTGACTACTATGGAAAGTATAACATATAGGACTAGTTTACGGATTATTATTTATATGTTTATTATATAATCAATTGTTAATTGTATTAAGGTAATTCTATCGTTTAACATTTTACTACCATCCTTCATTCTTGCTACTTAATTACATATTAATTCTATACTAATTATAACCTGATAATATGCAGGGTACAATTTCGTATTTGAGGCCCCTTGATGTCCGATAAGCTAATAATTGTTTAAGATAAATGCTGAATTGTCGAAATATAAAGCTAGAAAGTTGGATACAGTTCAACGTTTCCTGACTCAAGGCTAGAAATCGACAGATCAATGGGCGTTTAGATTAAGTTAGGCACGCGTCATGTTTAATCATGTCCGTTGCAACGTACGATTGGTCATGATTCATAACACTCGGCTATAAACGGAATATTATCTTAAGTGATGTTGGGTGTGTATCCGTGTAAACTTTATTATTTGACTGTATGCCTATTTATTGATTAGTCATTGGTAAGAAAAAAAGAAATGACTGTTTTGACTGTGATAACTTTTTCATGTTTTGGTATTTCTTCGTTATGATGTGTGCTAATGATGTCGATAGATATAAGTAGTATGTATCATCAATCGAAAGTGAAATGTCTGGAGGCAGAACGTTAAGAAGATTGAAGAAAAAGAGAATGAGGACAGAGAATGATTAGTGTGAAATCAAAAGAGCTATGAATTCTCAGACGGTTGACTGATATTTTGCAAATGAAGTATTTACTGCATAGTTCTCAGATTTTACTGATGCATCTTGTATTTTTGTGTCCAAAAACATTTGATTGTGCTCACTTGTGTTCTTGTTCACTACAATATCATTAATAATACGGCTGTGATGAATACAGATACATTTATCTCCTGAGTTTGTATATATTTATATATGCCTAAATGCCCTGGCACGGCCGAGTGTGGGGAGAGTCAGCTCTTCCTCTCAAAATACTCTCAGATGGCTACTTGCATACAACCACTGCTGGAGAAGTCCTACTCACTGACTTCTCACGACGGGAATATTGTTTACGACATTGAGATGACAAAAATCCAATATCTGACGCTTTAACCGGGTTGTTGGTCACCGAGTCCACCTAGAGGAGTTGGAAAACCATGATTCCACACCAAGAGTTCACATGGACACCAGGATCCTGAAGGAACAAATGGCTTATAAACCAATCATTGGTCACCGGCTGCCATGTGACTGCATCTTCTGACGTTACACTACTGCCTTATGGATGAGACCTTAAGATCGAAGGTTCGAATGAGGCTCCCTAAGAAAACTACCTCTTTCGAACTGTGCACACGGGCAGTATCCCGGCTCTCACACAAATCCACAGATTTATGTGGTGCATGTCTATTTGGTGATGAAATAAATGATAAAGGATGAAATAAAATTCATCATTACATTTAGGTCTTCACGTATTGTCTATTTGTATTTGTCAACAATTGATGTTCGTATAAAATTTAAAACGTCGTTCCGAAATGTTGCATTATCTTGTATAGTTTGTGGGTACACATAAGTCAAAGTACTATTACCTTACGAATCTATCCATGAAATTAATGGAAATGGTTTCTTATCGATAAGGTCAGCTTTTTCAATGTAATTTTACAAAACCAAATCATGATTATCGATTCATGATCTCAATCAAAAACTTAACAATCTTCACAACCCTATACTGATAATTACCATGTGCTCACTAGTGACAAGCTTCATGAGGGAATTTTTGGAGTTCTAGTGAGAAGCTGTGACTAGTGGAGCTAATTCATTTCGGGTAGAGACAGGAGTCAACCTCAGTATAATGGAAGATGGTCGTGCAATTTTGTGGATTGGTTGAGGTTAGATATCAACACCGTAGGATGCAGGCAAGCCCAGCGGTCTAGTGGTTAGGCGTTCGCGCGCGAGACTGAAGGCTCTGGCTTCGAATTTCGCGGGCATGGCCGTGAATGCACACTGCTGAGGAGTCCCACAGTAGGACAAAACGGCCGTCTAGTGCTTCCTGGTTTCCAATGGTGGTTTGGCATCAATCGATTCATAATCTCAATCGAATTGTGATTATGGCTATGATATTCAGCGTAATTACTTTTGTTTTTTGGAATACTGTTATTACAAACTTGAATAAAATGTAAAGAATCGTTCAATATACGTTTCCAGTTATAATCTATAGAAACCCGGTGGAAATTACATCGATATTGCATGCATCTACAAGGTGATCAAATATATGTTGTCATTTATATTATGTCAGTCTTCTGAATATAATGGTATGTAAGACGATTTTTAAGAGTACCATTTTAAACGTTTGATGAATGAGAAGTGTTATAAAGGTATATACATATGAACAGAGGTTCTTTGAAGTTGAAATTTTGATGATTTCAGCATTAGATTAACCAGGCGTTCCTGAATCCCGTGAACATGAAGAGATGAAACCTTGGACCATTACACAATCTTCATTTCTTATCATACTTTTCCGACTACTATATATAATAATGGTGTTAAACATATTTCACTTCGATCGCATCACATGTTGTCAGTGTAAACATAGGAATGAATAATACACTACACTAAAGCTTTACATACACCGACAAAGCAATATATACTGACAAGTGAGAACCACATGACTATAATAAACAAGACGAATACTTTTATGTATCGACATCATTACTACTTACTATTAATATAAGATTATCATAACTTAATTAACATTAAAGTTGTATATGATGATCAATCCACATGCTATTTCATATCTCAATTTATCCCGGTCATAGTCCATAGTCATCCCATTCAACAATTATATTTCACCAACTTAGTAGATACACACAATTCGATAGAAATAGTCTTAGAATATCACCTTGTTATCATTAACCAAATTTATTTCAAGTGTATTGATATAAATACAAAAAATAAAAGATAATCGATTCTATTGATTGAAGACAAAGAATAGCCCATCAACTACATGATTGAAAGAACAACATCCAACTGATTGGTTCTTCAATTGAATCTATCGGAAACATGATTCATGTAATTGAGTATATTGACGGTAAACTGACACGAATTTATCATATAGTTCCCACTCTACAAATAAAATTACAATTCAGTAGATAATCAACATGATTATGTAATTATAGTCATTGATAGCATGATAAGTGAAACTAATGCTTCATAATATTGTGCTTCAGTGTTTTAAGGTATACACATAGTTGATTTAGACGAGTAAAACATGAGTATCTAACAAACATTCCTATTTGGAACTTATCAGGATGAAACCTCTATTGGCCATATAGTCAATGGGAAGGTTCAAATAACCAATACGAAATGAATTAAACTTTACACTAATCCACGTGCTAATTGCTAGCTCCACTCAGTAGATAAGTAGAAATCGCGATAACGTTTGAAGCGAAAGCTGGTGGGTTCGAATATAGGAGTGAATATCAAATCTGGGATCTAGGTATATCTTGCTGATGAGTCCGAAATTCGACGAAAATCCCCCCTGGATTCCGGTGCTAGCTACTATTCATCTCTGTTTGGAATGCATGTGAATTAAGGTGATATCAACATAATCCTCACAGGATGCATACCTGTCAGTGGGAGACTGATCAATTTTAGTTGTAAACATCACTGTTAAGAGAACATACGTTGAGAGGTTCAAACATTATAGTTCGTGTCTCCTGTTTAATTGTACGTCTCATGTAACTGGCACAACATGAATAATTAAAATTTATCTATTAATTATAATATGAAGTCATGAGAGTTGTATGTTGTTAGTTTCATCATATTTCATTACATATTAACTTACGTTTAAGAATGATATCTGATTGATCAATGTACTCAGTCGGTGTATAATTCACATTTATATCATCTGGTTTTATATGATGATTAATATGAATAAGTTTTGGTTGTTTAACCATTGTTGTGTAATTACGCTTTTTCAATTCTGTATAAGTTAACCAACTTACAGGACATCGTTGTTCATCACTTCCTGCACTTAATTGAATATTCCATTCACATGGAATCTCATATAAAATGTATTTGAATTCAAATAATATTAAGTTTAAAATATCCTACAAAATGGATAAGGAAACGAATAAATCAGTGACGATGTTTGAAATAAGCTGGTGTTAGTACAGTTGTACATTCTATAAATGATGGACTGAGAGGAGGAATGGACATAATTCTCTATTCCAATTATCATTCAAATTTTATTTCTTGTCAATGTAATGAACTTATTATTTTATTTGAACAAATAAATATTGGCAAGAAGGGTCACCAAGTACATATGCGCCATACAAGTCTGTTGATTTATGTGGGGGCTGGGATACCGGGTGTCAATACCGGGGCAGGTAGCTTTATTAGGGGGCCATACCCGAACCTTTGACCTAAAGGTCTGATCCACAAGGCAGTAGAATAACTTCAAAAGATGCAGTCTCATGGTTGTCATTGACCAACAAGTAGTTCATACGCCATTTGTTCACTCAGGATCCTGCAGCCCATGTGCACCGCTGGTATGAAATCATGGTTTCCCAACTATCCTAGGTGGATTCTTTTTATCCACCAACCCGGTTAAACCAACGGACATTCGCTTTTCATCCTCTCAGTTTCGTAAACAACATCCCTGGTGAGAGAAGGCAGTGAGTAGGACTTCCCTGTCAGTGGTGGTATGTACGTGAACATGTTTGAGTATTTCGAAAGGGAGAGCTGACTCTCACCACTCTCGGTCGTACCAAGGCATTCGGGTGCCAATGTAATGAATATGTTATGCCCTCTCGTTTTCATAATATGATGAAATCTCAATGTTGTTCATTTAGCAATAGATTTATGGTACTTTTACGCTTTCTTATATTTGAACCCTGACTTCTATAACTAACTATTAATATGTCTATTTCTATCAATAAATTACAGTTGACTTGTTAGTATACACATGATATTCACAGAGGGTATAGAATGCTTAATACTCTGATAGATGATTTTTATGGAGTTTCGTTTATCTGAACTAGACGATTGAGTCGTGGATAGTCTCTTTCCTTGGTCTGACTTTTGATAATATGTTTCTCCATGATTTTTCTGGTTGGTTAATAAACTGCATCGATGTTAAAGTGTTTGCTGATTGCTAAGCTCCTACAAATGCGCTGGCGTTCTCAGTATTCCCTCCTACCAAGATTTTGACACTTTTTCACTTGAATGTGTCTCCACAATTGTCCACATACATTTATGTAAGTGATAACTTATAAGCCACGATACAGTATTTATTCTTGTGTATACTGTACAGTATATAGGTCTCCGATCAGTGTGTCCTGTAGATCTATTTAAATTATGGTTCCTGAAAGTGGAGGTCCAGTTCTTTCGTTTGCTAAGCTAAAAGCTCTTTGGCTAAAAAACTCAGTTATTGTTTTAAGTGTGTAATTATTCAAGGCCCATCAATCCTGATGGTCATAAACTGTGTTCCACATCACGATGTGAGGGAAGTCGAAACGATATCTGATTGTGTTATGAGCGTGAATATAGTAAGTAATCAATAAACCACTTCCCGTCATGATAGGAAGACGCAAGCATTCAAATAGAATATCCGACTGAGTGACGTTGTTTACTTTCCATGTCTAGTGTAATTATTTGACAATATTGATCTCCCCCAATTCATTTTTAATAAATGGTTGAGCTATGAAGTGACATCAGTACTCTGGTAATTCGCTTTGTGGATATAAGTTTCTCCTCCTAATAAGCTAGTTGAGATTGTAACTATGTGCTACTGTTTAATAGTGAATGAATTTGTTTCTCAGTAGTCACACTGATGGAACTACGTAGGTCGTAGACTATTATTCAATTTCTTCCCGTTTGCCAGATCGGTAATCATTTGATTAGTGTCATTAAGATTTTGTGTACCTTATAAACGCGTGTTTGGTAGAAATTTGCAAATTGGTATCTTCATATAGGTATTGACAGTCACTAAAAGTAGTTACAATTAATATGTAAGAAGTTTGAACCTACCTGTTCACCAGTGATTAAGTAACCTTGACGTTTAATAGCTCTTCTAGTTATGCTCAACCATAGATGATTCCAATTGGTTGATCGTAATTTAGACAGATAAAGTAACAGAACACCGTTATTATATCCGTAACCCTAAAATAAACATTATGCATATGATCCACCATACTTTGCACAGAAGAAGTAAAGTTGATTGCACAGAAGTTGATATTCTAGGTATTCAGCTATAGCATTGACCTAACGGCAATCAGTATAAAAGCTATTTAGAACGTTTGATTATGTATTATAACAGTCCCTTAATAATCTAAACTAGGAGGTGACTACGCATCTCACTGAGATAATCATAATTCCTCAAGATTTTGCATATACCTTCCAGTTTACAAGTACTGAATTACACAAAACTCGTTTCCAAGATATTTTTGTCAATCAAAGTTTAATAGGCTAGTAAGTACATTTCAACTTGATGGACACTACAAAGCAAACAAGGTATTCACAAATTCTGAAATAAATTATCTACATCCATGACTGCAATCTGATATAAATAAGGGAGAAGTATTTAGCTTTAAATGATTATTGCTTGATAAAAAGCAGGTAGTGCGAGAATATAATTTATCGGGGAACCAATGAAACTTAGGATAGCATGTCTTGGATTGTCACGCGAAATCAATTCATCCATACAGTTAAATAGCATTTTGGCATTATAGCTGATTGCAGTTCGTGATGAAAATCCTCATTTTCATTCGTAAGCCTAAATTCTAACTTGACATCCGAATTGTAACTCCTCACACTAATTTATAACCTCACTTGGGCAATTTAAGTAGGTGAGGTAACTCCGCCTGCAGCTCTTCTAGAGTTAGTGCTGTTCCCGAGCCCTCGTAAAAGAGGAGGGTTGAGGATGAGGTCAGAAACCCCATCCCGTAGAAAAATTCTTGCTAAAACAACGCCGACCATATTAAACAAGTAGGTCGGTTGTCTCCAGATCAATTCAGAGTCGTTCACAGTTCGTCCATAAATTATAGTCTCCGTGAAATTGTTCTTAAAAAGGACAAAGTGTAAATCGTTGCAAATGTAATGATGTATGAAAATGTTTAAACTTACTTTCCAATTGCTTTCTAACCTGGTCATAACTTCTTGAAAATATGGATTTTGTTCTAATCCAATACCTATGCTCTTTGAAAAATACAAAGACATGAAGATTTGTAAGCCATCAGAAGTATAAACTTAAAACGATCATCACAAAATATCCTTCAGCAAACTTGATACACACAAAACATTGTCTAGCTGAAGTTGAAAGTTTAGTCCCAATTTGAAATCAACTGTGAAATTAATGAAGAATGTAGAATGTAGAATGAATAAAGCTAATAATAATAACTTCTAGATCACTGAGCTGTTCTCATTTTGACACTGTCTATCACATTAATTTCAACACAACTATTCATTGTCACATATGACGTATATTGTTACAAGTATATATCTGTTTGAAAACACATTCTTCGCTGAATAAACAAGAACCCGAAAAATATCTCAGTTGTTTTGTTTTCTATTGCAAATAAGGCTTTCGTGCACTTCTCTTACTTTTCTTCACTTAAGAGTTCACTAAGTAAAGCCTATTCATGATGCAATTAGTCAGATTTAAAGAATCATATCATAAATGACTGTCTCATTTAAATGTTTCATTGAAGACAATCTGAGTATTCACAATCCATACTGTTGGATCTACGAATAATTCGTAATGAAATCATTCCATTCATATTCATTCAATTGAGATAATAATAATAATAATAATAATAATAATAATAATAATAGTGTTTGGTTTGTCGTGACTTTATAGTCCAATGGGAACTATGTACTCAACACTCAGTTAAATATTTTTTTTGTATTTATCGTGTAAGCCAAGTAGAATGTAGATTCGATTCAGCCCCCAAATGGCCTGTTACAGCTGAGAGTGGGGAGAGTCCGCTCTCCCTCATGAAATGCTCTCACATAGCCATGCGTATTTAGCCACTGCCAGGAAAGTCCTACTCATTGCCTTCTCGCGGCATTACTGTTGTTTACGAAACTGAGAGGATGAAAAGCGAATCTCCGGTGATTTAACCGGGTTGATGGACATAGAGAATCCACCTAGGGGAGTCGGAAAACCCTGATTCCAAACCAATGGTGCACATGGGCTCCAGTATCTTGAAGGAACAAATGGCGTATGGACCAGCCGTCGGTCACCGGCTACCATGGGACTGCATCTCCTTACGTTGCTCCACTGCCCTATGGATCAGGCCTTTAGGTCGAAGGTTCGGGGTTTGCCCCCCTAAGAAAACCATCTGCTTCGTTTTGGGCACCCGGGCAGTATCACATCCCTCACACATATCAAATGAGATTTTTGTGGCGCATATGTTTTGGTGCCTCATTGTACCGATATCTATGTGTTAAGATAAATAAAAAAAGATTCAATTCTGATCAATCTTCTAATACACTTCAATTGTTGTTAAGCATTTGAAAAAAAAAACAACTGCACTTTGATATCATAGTATGATATGTGATCAATTACAAAATGGTTTGTGTTTGTTTTATATCGAATATCAACAGTTAATCAATCATAACATGAACAATTATTAGAAACAAACCTGAGTTTCTTTAAAATAATCAAAATGATTCCATAATTCAATAATATCTGTATTAAGTAGTATATCAATGTCTAGTACAATTACCTATAAAGGGAAAGGTACAAGAGTATAGAAACAAATTACCCATTCATGATATACTCCCGTAACATATCATCGTTTTAATCTAGTCAATATTAGGTACTGGTTTGTGTACTCATCTTCCAGTTATAATTTCATTATATGAAGTTGAAATGAATGGAGCCTAATGTAACCATGCTAAATATTGATTGAAGGTTAAAAACTTCAGATGGTACCTGACTAAACATTTAATCGTAGATATCGAATTCCATAAAAATTTCCACTCTTAAATCTTCGAGGGTAGTTATAACGCTAAATAAAGCTGACAATATAAATGCGTTATGTTACGACTGCGTCGTGATTCGATGCAGCTTCTTGGATTCACCAATCAGAATTTTGATTATAATTTCTCCATCCTGTGTACGTTATTCTGTTTATAGTCGAGTGTCATTAATCGTAACCAATCACACGTTCCAATGGACACGAATAACGACACAACGTTAACTTCGACTAAACTACTATTGATCTATCAATTTCCAACCTTGAGTTAAGAAATATCAGACTGTAGCTAAGTTTGAAGTTAGCCAAAGTAGTCAATGCTTAGTTTTCTCAGTTATTAGTGAGTAAATCTTTGTATCACGTTGGAACAGTTTTGAACCAAGATGATGACTTTACTTTTACTATTGCATCAGAATCACTTTGGACGCCAGCTATAGTAGAAATGATGAACAATCGTTGTCTTCCAACTTTCTATACAGTTTCTTAAAGACTTTCGACGAATCTAATGATGATTATAGCGCTTATGCTGGTAATGTGAATCGCACAACCCAATATTCTAATCTGAGATCAAAAACCCATGATCAATTCAATGTTTTATTATTATTTCTGTCAACATCTGACTTTGAATTCCGTACTCGTATCCTACAAGTATGAAATATGATGTATGTCTGACCTTACAATATGTGATGACGAAGTGTCAAAGCTTTGAATGTAATACACAATACAAAAGGAAGAGAGAATACAAGTTCATAAGTATCTTTACCATGTGGACAACAAAAATTGGATAGTACTATCCGTTTGCTAAAAAAGGCAGTCAGCGGTTTATTGCTTCTGCATTAGTTGGCATTTTGCCAAAAGATATCCATACAAAACAAATAAATGCAATAAATGTAAACAGTTACGTTACAAAGGTGGGTTCTTGTAGGTTTTATGATGCTTTACATTATAGTGAAATGAAATTATAGTCATCACCTAATAATACTGTTTTTAATGTTTCGTGTGTTCATCCAGCTAGGAAAATAAAATGTTTTGAGGTTTCGGCAAATAAATCACCCTTCAGATTTATACTTTTTCAGATATTACTTTGTTATGTGGTGATGTGTGACAAAAGTTTAGGTCTACCCCTGCTCTTTCATCAGTCATACTAAAGCAAAGTATTGTTCAATATTTTGTGAGTTCCCTGAATGTTGTACAGTTTAAAAAGCATCTTGATATCTTCGGCTTCGCTTCAAACTCTGAAGACTGGTGCCATTTGACACACCATTGTTAGTAGATAAGTAGTAAATGTGTTTGAAGGACATGGTTTATTTCAATTATATGAAACATTTACTTTGGGTAGCCTAAGTAGTAGTGTGTAAAACTTTCAGTGGATCGACATAACCGAAGGTTGACTTCTATACTAATTTGAATACTCAATTCAAAGAATATTCACATCGACTACTTGTAGTTAAGAGTATTTTCACAAAATCTAATGATAGAAGATATTTTGCTAAAAACGCGTTCTACAGATGCATGCCTTTAAGTTAAATAAAATAAATCTTTGAAACAGATTATTAGTTGCTTGTGACAAAGATCAAATTTAGAAAAAGGATTATCAGTGTTGGGTTGTAGAGATTGTTCATGTTCACTGAAACCATAAACCCATCAACGATAAACTGGGCGGAAATGGACGGCTGGTTCTCTTTGGTATGAGACTCTAGCACCTCTGGATCTTGGCTCAGTGGTCAAACGTTTGCTCAAGACCTAAATTCCTGTATTCAATTCACTCATGTAGGGTCGACGATTCAAACTGTTGCAGTCCCATACCAAAACGAAGCACCTGTCAAGTGCTCTCAGGTTTTCAATGGTGCTCTAACATTGATCGATTCATGATTTCAGTAGAGAAAGAATTACAGTATGCACGACAAACCTCCTCTGAACATTGGCAGCATCCAATGTTCAGTGTCCGAACCCATAAAAACCAGAAGTTCCAAAATGAAGATACTGTGAGTGCTGTTGATTCAGAGCGTTACGTTTATCATACCTCTATAAACTTGATCGACTACATCGATTAAACGCCAGAAGAGATTTAATACACAAGTGAACATGATCCACGATCGTGTTTCATTAGAAAATAGAAGAGTTACACAGTGAAACATCTTATTCCTAATTTGACTCATTACATAACCCGCTAAAAAATAGGGAAGTGTTAGGATGCGATAAAATGATGAAACAAGATTATTAACTCGGTGTAATTATTCTCTTCATTATTGATGCAGATACATGCAGTTGAATAGTTCCAAATCTCACGTCCTAGATTCCACTACTAGTCACCATCTATCTTTACTTATTATTGATCGTTATTAGAATCTTAATTTATTTTCTGAATATTAATTCAATCGTATTTTACTGCATTAATCTACTCCATTTTTCTATTGATTTTCATGTTCTAACATGTGATATGAAGTTCTTTTTTTTGTTGTCTCAGTTATTCTGTGTATTTTCCTGTGATATGTGATGATAGTGTGGTTGTTATTTTTTGCAGGAAATCAGTACAAATTTGTACAAATCAATATTCATCAAATGAGTGCAGTCATGATTGTATTCGATGTGTGTTTATGGGGGTGGTGGTGGTGGTGAGGAGTAAAGTTAATCTGTTTTATTATTATTCACTTTTCGATCATATTTGAGTTGTGAAACAGATTTCAGTTTGATGTAACGATAGTGAGTACAAGATGATTAGGAGGTTCATTTGTTCCTGTGGAGTTAGCTTTATCGACTGTACTACTAGGTAACTTAATGAACATATAATTGAACATCTCTGAGTTTGTAAGCAAAGATGGATAGTGGCTAGCAGTGGAATCCAGGACGCGCTTTTCCTCCTGTTTGAGACTCATCAGCTGGATGTAGCTGCACCTCAGAGTTGATGTCCACTCTGGGACTCGAACTCAGTACCGTTCGCTTCAAACGCCATCGCGTTATCCACTTAGCTACTGAGTCCTGATAGCCACTTGCTTGTGCAATGGGTTGAAGTTTAATTCACTTGATATTGTTTTACTTGAATCTTCCCATTGATGTTTTTGGACTGAAATTGATCAGTCTCTTATTGGCATATGTGCATACTGTGCGTATGCCTCGATATTGCCTTAATTTACATCCAGCTGACGAGTCTCAAACAGGACGAAACGCGCGTCCTGGATTCCACTGCTAGCCACTATCCATCTTTGCTTATAATGCTTGTAAATTAAGGCAATATCGAGGCATACGCACAGTATGCACATATGCCAATAAGAGACTGATCAATTTCAGTCCAAAAACATCAATGGGAAGATTCAAGTAAAACAATATCAAGTGAATCTCTGAGTTTGGTTTGTAAAGGGTCAGACAAAGACACTACATAGCTTTATCTTTGCGTATCTAGTCGTTAATCGACATACGGTAGTGTTCTATTGTATACTTAGCTTCACTTTCCAATGGGGTTAGATCCCGTCGCCTACATATAGCAGAACCAATTGGGTTCCGAACCTATAATTCTAGTATATTTATCGAGAGAAAATTCGTGACACCCCTGGATACGACATATCACATGAGATTAATAATTTTTTTCATATCCCCTATCTGTTTGTACTATTTCCGCTTTCCATTCATAGTGTTCAATATTTAATTATTTAAACACTTGTTATTACGTGATCTAGATAATATTCAGTTATTATTATTATTATTCCAAAGTCCATTTATCCAAGTTTGATCTACTTTGACTTTGACTATGACTTTGAGATACCTTTGTTATCGACGCTAGTTTATAATAAAATTGTCGAACGTTTTCCTTTTATATCACTACCAGAAACAAATATCTGTGATATTTCATAAGAATAATCAAGTAGTGTAGACACAGAGAAAGTGTATACTTGTATTTGCATTACACTTAGTATTAGTCGATCGTTATTACTTTCTCATTTAGATAAATGATTGAATTAGCATGTAATTCACATCATGGATTGGTCGCAGTTACACAGCACTGAGAACCAGGGAAGATGACATAAACCTACTACTTTTTTGGTTCTTGTTAGTTAGCCTCGTTCATTCACATTTAGTATTTAGTATTGAAAAGCTTTCTTCTTATGATCACTTCCAATGCATTGTACTGCTATTATTTCCATTATATAATTTAGTATTATGCTTTTTCTTATTACATTATCATCTGTGTTCACGTTTCGTACTTCCTCACAAAATGTAGTCCTTAAAATTGACTACATGCTTATTAGTGTGGTATTAGAATAAGATTTACTTCCTGAACACTGACGTAAACTTGTTTTCTTCATACGATATTGGGAATCAAACACTTAAATATTGTAGTCAATTTATACGGAAAAATTTAATGAAAAATATTATGAAACTTACTGAGAGAACATGCAGAACTGTGACTTACTTTATTGATTGTAGATGGAAGAATTTCTGTAATCATCAATTTTAAAAATGGTTTGGCGCCTGAAGGATGCCTAGATTGAATCCACCAAATATCTGTCTACAAAGAATCACACAGATTCAAGTTAGTAAACACAGTACATTGAAATCACGAACCGATCTAAGTTAGATAACCATTGAAAATATGGAAGCAGTGAACGGTTGTTTCATTCGAGTATGGGGCTTCAGCAGTACACATCCACGACAGAGTACCTGAAATCCGATCAAAAACCTTGAATCTCGCAAGCGAACGCTCGACCTCTAAAGCACTAGGTGAGCGTTCAAGCGTGTACAAGTTAACTTTAGTCAGACTAGGATATTGTGAAATCATCATCTATTGTCGTCGGTAGGTGCCTATCTCATACCTGACACGACTAAACTCCACTGTCATCTCACCAGTGACAAAATATTCGCCACAACCTCACAGTGGCGATTGTCATGTAATTGTTAGTGAGAGCTTCAACAGGAAACTTTTGGAGTTCTAGTGAGAAACCGTAACCAGTGGAGTATAACCGAGTTGGGTATGAGGCAGATACCTACTCCAGCCAACGAATGAGGTTTGCGCAATCTCGTGAATTAACCGAAGTAAGATTTTAATTCTGTTGGTGGCCAGTTCAGTGGCCTAGTGGTTAGGCAACCATGTGCGAGGTCGGGGGTCTTGGATAAGACATATGAGTTGAGGCCTTGAAATGCTTTACCAAGACAAGATGGTCATCGAGCCCCGTTAGCTTTTTGATGGTTGTCCGACTAATATCAATTTGTAATTTAAACTATAAATAGTGCCATCTCCAGAAAACTCTGTACTGATATTATTGGAATCATTGTAATAAAACACTGAGAGTATTTTCATCAAATCAATACTGATGTAACATAACGTTTGTACAGTGACGTAACACAGTTAGTTATAATGCATGTGAAAACTTACCAGTTGATTACCACAACTGTAAAAATGATATTCCATATTATGTAATTTCCATGTATTCATCAAATTCAACAACTGACTATTTAATGAAATCGACGTTATTAAGAAATGAAATACAGTTGTATAAGTTGTTGACACATTGTTCATAAGAGTTTGACAATCATTCATAAATCGATCACAAAAGTTTGATAGACAACAAGCTTTTAAATCACATCGAAATCTTCCATTTTGATAATAAAAAATAGATTTAAGTAGGCTATGCAAGTATTGTAGACCTCGATCACCATCAAATAAGATCACAATGTGAATTTTATTATCCTAAAACAAAACAAAAAATTACACTGATGAAGCTATTTAAGTAGTTGGTCAAAACATTTTGTAATAATAACTACAGTGTCTACCCCCCTCTGAGTACTCAAATCGAAACAACGAATCAAAATCAAATTTATGGTGACATCTGAAAAAGTCATTAAATTTTGAAGATTATATTCACTTTGTGTTGTTTTACTTGTATCCTCCCATTGTTACTTAGGACTGCAATTAATCAGTATCTTGTTGAAGTTACATCCACCTGACGAGTCCTACATAGAACGGAACGCTCGTCCTGAATTCCACTGCTAGCCACTTTCCATATTTGCTTAAAAAGTTTGGGACTTAAGGCTATATCGAGGCAATCCGCACATGATGCACATATACCAATAAGATATTGATCAATTGCAGTCCTAAATAACAATGGAAGGTACAAGTAAAACAACATCAACTGAATTTAGACAATTATCTTTTACATCTCTTCTGTATATTGTTTCTGATTATCTCTATGACTTTTAGGTAACTTAGATTTACTATTGAAAAACGTCGGTTATTACATTCAACCATCTAGCAAATAACGAGCTGATATCACATTAATCGGATAACTGGAACACTCATTTCTGGGTGAAGTAGGCGCTGGAGTTGCCGTCTAAAACAACAACAGTGGAAGCTTCTCAATTACGCTGTCGAACGTAGAAAACGCAACTCCTTTACCTTCACCTTTAATAACTCTGTTTCATGACTCAATACTCCCTTATTATACTATAAACTGTCACATGTAAAACAAACTGTAAATACAGCTTTATAGCTTAAATTAATAATCTTGGAGACTGAAATATCTTTTCATTGAAAATCATATGGTTCATATGAATATGTTTTAATAGAAGAACGTTCCATAGAATAAAATGTACCAAACCAGTGTTACGGTTGAGTAAATACAATTAATGAAATATTCGATAAACAGAATTCATAGTCACGTTCTTCTGAACCTTCCGAAATAAAGCTCAAATATGAAGTGATAAGTTTACTGAAGTCATACAGTAGTAATAGTTGTGTAGACGTTTATATGATAGGCATATGCAGGAGTAATCAGTAAAGTACAATCGTTTTCTTTTCATATAATAAACATTTTGCACTACGTTTGTGCATAAACTAATTGCAAACAATTTGAACGGAGAGTCCTCAAACAAATGTATTGTTATAGACGTTTCACTTTGTAGTTTTTAATAGTTGAATTTTATTAAACCTAGAACACCTTGGAGAACCTGGAGGCACTGAATGGCCGTTCTGTCCTAACACGGGACTTCTCAACAGTGCATTCACAATCCTGCATGATGGACTTAAACCAAGGACCTTCAGTCTCAGGGACGAACGCCTAACCCCTAGACCGTTGGAGCAGCATGTAATGGTGTTAATGTGTAACTTTAATCAATCCACGATATTACGCGACCGTCCAACATTGTCTTCAGTGTGTAACTGCCTATACAACAAAGGCGATTGAACTCCACTGGTCACGGCTTTTCACTAGAATTCCAGGAAATATTTAACAGAATTTATCATTATTTTGTTTTAAATAGATGAGAGGATTACGGTTAAAAGTCCAGTTTGCAAACATTCTAGTTGTAATTGTCATATCTAGTGTTTCAACAAAAACTCATTCACTATCAAACTGTTTAATCGTAGTATACAGTCAAATGTAGCAAGTATTTTTGACTCCATTTGGTAGTAATTAGATGAATGTAACTGCAACTCACCCATGATATTCACAAGGAGACCTGAACATAATATTTATCAATTCAGGCATTGACTAGTTATTCATGAAGCTACTTGATAGTTAAGAATAACAACGTGTTAACGAAGCGTGAAATTTATAATCTTGAAAAATAAAATCTAGTAGACACAAACAATATCAAATATCGTAATGGTGGACAGTGGCCTAAATTTGTGGCTTGATCGAAGTTAGACATTAACACCGTTGGATGTCGACACAGTGGTCTAGATGTCCTGGGTTCAGATCCCACGAGCGGGATCGTTGATGCACACCGCTGAGGAGTCCTAAACTAGGACGAAACGGCAGTCCAATGATTCCAGTTTTCCAATGGTGGTCTAACTTCAATTGATTCATTAACTTAACTATTAAATTGTTATAATATTCACAAAAACCCCTTTCTGATAAAATCGTAATCACTAAATAAGTTGACAGAAATCAATAATTTACCTAGAAAGTCGAAATAGATGAAATAAAACTATCGAGAACAGAACAGGGTCCAATGGATATCCTCGATGTGATTATTGACAGTTAAATAAAATTCACAACTAGAAACAGTAATTAGGTTTCTTTTAAACAATCTATTATTATTGATTATTTGGACACAAAATATTGGTACAAGAAGGCACCAAATAGATATGCGCTATATAAGTCACCTGATTTGTGTGTGGGCTGTGATACTACCCGGATGCCTAGATTGAAACAGGTGATTTCCATAAGGGAAACACACCCAGAGCCTTCGACCTAAAGGTCTGATCCACAAAACAGTGGAACGTCGTAAGGAGATGCAGTTCCATGGTAGTCATTGACCAACAATCGGTTCATACGCCATTTGTTCCTTCAGGATACTGGAGCCCATGTGCACCAGTGGTATGGAATCAGGGTTTTGCAACTCTCTTAGGTGGACCTTCTTTATCCACCAACCCGGTTTAAGAGCCAGAGATTCGCTTTTCATCCCCTCCGTTTCGTAAACAACACCCATGATGCGAGAAGTTATTGAGTAGGACTTCCCTATCAATGGCTGTATACACATGGCCATGTGAGAGTATTTCGAGATGGAATGCTAACTCTCTCCAACCCTTGGACATACCAAGATATTTGAAATGAAGTATCAATATCATCAATCAAAACATTAAGTCCTTACATATAATTGTATATCAAATAATGAAATGAACTTACCAAAGAATTATCTGTATTGAATGGATCTATTCCATTTTTATTAGTAGTAGTAGTATTACTAGTAGTATTAGGAATAATTACATAGAATATACTCCATGTTATTAACATAATGATAATTAATGATGAAAATAAAATTTTATTATTCAATTGATAATCATTAAAAATATGAATAAATTGAGAATTTTTATTTTGTTCAATGCAATATGAAAACATATATAGGAAAAATATTTAGAAGAGATAGGAAACTGATAACAAACAAACAAGCAACGACGACGACGACGACAATAACGATGACGACAACGACAAACAAGGACAACGATGACGGTGACAACAACAAGCGAGGACAACGACAACGACGACGACGACAACAACAACAACAAAATTGTATGGAATTGAATTATACTACTATGCAATGATTGATCTGATTAATTAATTATAGACAATAATTAATTGAAATGGACATTCCATATGTAACAACATGTTAACCTATAATATTTCGAATTAAGATGAATATGATTGGTTAAAAAAGGAAAAGGCTAAATACACATTTATTGAAGGATATAATAACATACAAATGAATAGAAAGATCTTTTTTGGGTTTGGTTTTTTTTATCACAGAGAAAGACTAGTGAATATTTGAAACACTTGAATAGCTCTTTTCATTCTAATGTGAAACTGATCAATAATCCATAAATATATATGTATATATCAGTCAGTTACAATGTAAGACTAGGCACACGTATGCATCGGTACAAGTTGCCACACTTCATTAGCACAACAAAATGAACATCGAATTCATAGAAGTAGTTACTTCACTGGTAGTAATATATAAAAAACGATTGTATATAAGGATATGATACGGGGAGAAGGAATTAGTTCGCAGAAAGTAAGTAATCTCAAGGTTTAAACGAAGGCAGAGAGTGTATACACCGACGCCATTGTGATCGGTTCTGAGCCAAGTCACACTGTCTCCAAACATTGGTTACGATAGTCACGCGGAACACAACCAAGTAGTCTGTATCTACCAACATGGCTAAGACTAGAAGTTAGTGACCTCAAGCTTTGGCCGCCCCTAAGATTTACAATCTTATCAACTGATTTACTATTAATCCCTGATATGTTGCGTCTAACCTCACTATCACTTATCCGGTGATCCTATCAAATACGAAAGATATTTCTAAGGTATCTGTGATCAAATACTAGTAAATTACGATTGTCTTCTACTCTTAATGGCCATATTTCGCAGCTGTAAAGTAGAACAGAATGAACTGCTGCGCAGTATACTCGTCCCTTAATTGATAGATAGGTATTTCACCTTCGACATAGGTGACGTAAAAAAACTTTCTGAATCGGTGTAAAGATTTTTCAGATATCAACTCATCAGGGCTTATTAGTCTTCTAAGATATACATATTCCTTCCGAGGTTCAATTGTAGGACGTTCCACTCTCTCAATAAACGTGTTAGACTACTGAGTAGGTTTCCGATAATTTAGGTGGTTAAAATGATAGGTTATAAATATCGATTGAATCCGAAGGAACATGTAATGTGATTAATTGTGCAGTAAACCTTCAGACTGCAACACGTTATTAATATCCTAAACAGAGCAACATGTGCTCAAATGTTACTACAAACAATATCTATATATTTATTGTCATTACTTGTTAACATCAAATAGCCACTCTAATGTGATACACTGTATGTCTGGTGACTGATATATTGAAAATAATTTACATAATTCAGTTTGTTTGTTGTTAACATTGTTAAAAAACGGAGTTGTCTATTATTGGTTCAAATTTTGGTTTCACTAAATCAATGACAAGTTTGCTGCAGTTTATATGTGGTATATAACTATGATAATAGTCAACGTACCTGCTTTTACTACTCTGATGTGTAGATTACGCAACAAGGTTGCGATGAGAACACGAGTCCCTCACTATGAAGTTGGAGAAATATTATTTCATCAAACGATTTTAACCCTAGATGTTGTTATATTCGTTATCTTTATACTCAGTGGTAGAAGATAAGTAAAATATGTAAAAACCAGAACACAAGTGTTCCTGAATGCATAATCAAGTACTTGAGTTACCTGACATGTAAAGTAGTAACGAATAATCAAAGTATGACAGAACCGAATAGATACGACTGAAATGAAAACTTGGGATCATTAGCAATTGCATCGGGATACAAATAACGCTAGAAATTGAAGACAAGGATGATTCACATATGGGGCATTTGAACTCCTCAGACAACTGAGTAAATGTTAACCAACGGAATAGAGTTCATTGAATTGAGGGTCACGCAGTCAATTAGATACTATATTCTTAAACGGGTAAACAATCACATGAATTTGGCATGTGTACATTAAACAAGGCAACTAAATATAACGAGGAATCATAGGTTTCCAATATCTCTTTAGTACTTTTGTCACCAGCATGTATGTACCGACTGACTTCCTTGTGCTGATGTGTTCTTGTAAAATAATGATTTCTTTGTTCATCATAACTGTTTGGTTCCGAATTCCAAATACAATACGTTCGTTCATACTCATCTAGTACTTCTTGGTTAAATTGTGTGTGGTGTTTGAATGAACTAATGATTCCATTGTGCTTGTTGAATGCCTGATTTCAAATTTCAAATACAGTAAATTCGTTCGTGCCTATCTAGTACTTCTTGATAAACTTGCGTTATTTCTGGGATCCTTAGTTCGTACTATAATTCAAATACTCCTAATAATGACATTGCGTCGCGATGGAGCAATTAGATATTCATTCAACTTCTGAAGCTTTTGAGGATTATTTGGAAAGGATTGAAATCTGGAGCATGACTGGGAAAGATGTTAAAGGTTATAAAATTTTGGCACATTTCCTGACATTGATTGGGAGAGAAGCGTACAGCTTATTAAAAGTTTGGCTTATCCAGAAAAACCTATCTCTCTTCTTTATGCAACTCTTAAGGAACTATTATTAAATCATGTGAAGTGTACTAGATTTGAATGCCGTGAAAGTGCGAAATTTCATAAGATGATTTGTCAAAATGACCAAAAGATTAGGGAATTCATCCTTGAAATGCAGAAAAAGGCTTTCAAATGTAATATCGGTGGTCAACGTCATGTTCAACTGACAGATCAATTAATTGCAGGAATTAACATACCGGGTTTGGAAAGAGAGCTGTTAGAAATGCCGAACTGTTCCTTTCAAGATGCTAGAACTGCATGTGTTAATTACGAGGCAGTGAATGAACTTGATATCCAGTCGATGAAAATTTCTAATAATTTGCTTAGTCATCATGATGAAATACAATCCCAGGGTCAATCAAACTTGCGTTCGATTGATAGTGTTGTAGTGACTCACATTTATCACGAGAACACGACTGGTTTAATAAAAACAATTATTATTATAACCAACTGTACCAGTGTTTGTTTTAATGGGCTTTTGTTTGACTGTGCTAATGACAGCTATTTTGTGCTTCCATTCTTATTCACACACTTTGATTGTGACTTCGCGCGAATTCGGTTACGTTCTGTAACCAAGCTTCTATCCTGGCACGATTTCGGTATCCTTTCGATGCCACGGGATCGCCAGCGAATATATCTCGATTTGGTCTATTAATTGCCTTCTGATATTTGGCTTCTCGGGGATTTTATGGATTTATTTGGTTACGTTCAACCTTCGCCTTCTGAAATACTTGCACGGGTTTCCCTGTAGCGGTGTTCATAGTTAACCACAACTCGACGCCACGCTACAGTGTTTCCTACTCTCGTGTAAACATGAAAGGCGTTTCAACAAGGAATTACAAAGCAAATCACAATGATGAGATCAAGTTTGGTAAATATTTATCATGTGGAATGTCTTATTCTCGTAACTCATGTGCATTTCGTCATGCTAAATGTTTTAAATGTGGTAAGATAGGACATACCAAGTCAGTATGCAAAACTAATGTCCATTTTGCTTCAAATAGTACTAAATCTTGGAATTTATATCTTAATAATTCGGATGTTTCCAGTGATCATTTCTTTTTTTTACCATTTCGACAGGTAATGCTCATATTCAAAAGCGATTATGTACATCCCTTTATTCATGTCATGACTTTACTGTGGACACAGGTAGTACACAGTCCATTATTTCATTCAAGAACTTGAAATCTTTAGATCCTAACGTTGTGGTACGACCCACTGAAGCATCAATATTGGTGATTACTGGACACAGACTGTCCATACGAGGATGATGTGAATTGCTAATAAGAGATGATAATTCTTCATATATACCTTGTGAATTTTTAGTTAGCGAAACAGGACTGTCAATACTGGGTTTAAAGAATTTGAAAAGGCTTAAAGTGGAGTTGTCTTTCCTAGTTTCTGAAGAAAAATTCGACACTTGACTTAAAGATTTGATAGCTACGTGTGCTAAGTGCAGCGGAGGTATGAAAATTCAGCGTATACAACTTCAAGTACAGGGTGATCCAGTCTTTCTTAAAAGACGAGTAATTCCTTATGGTCTTCAAGAAGCAGTACATAAGACGTTAAATGATTTGTGTGCGAAAGACATAATTGAAATAATTCAGTCTTCAGCATATGGTGCTTCTATTGTTACGCCACGGAAGTCGGACGGCAAGACCCCTAGAATATGTAGTGACTATAGATTAACATTAAACTCCCGTCTGTTGAATCAAATGTGCACGGCGGTAGAGGCTGAAGATGTTCTAAATCGACTTCATAGTTCTAAAGTGTTCTCGAAAATCGACCCAACAGATGCTTATCTTCAAAACCTTTTAGATCAATCTTCATCTATTTTGACGACAATTAAAACTCCTTTCAGTCTGTTCAAATGCAAGTTCCTTCCATTTGGTCCATGTTGTTCTCCAGCCATATTTCAAGAAGTTATGAATAAAGTAGTTAGTGATCTTGAAGGTGTTGAAGTTTATCAAGATGATCTAATTGCTCATGGTTCTGATAAGGTAGTTAATGACGAGAGACTTATTGCTTTATTGCGTCGTTTAATTGAGAAGAATATTACAGTGAATCCAAATAAGTGTTCATGTTGTGTATCTAGTTTCGAATTTCTTGGATACCTAGTTGATGGTAATGGTTTATGACCAGATATGAAACGACTAGTTCCACTGACAAATGCACCGTCTCCGAAAAATCTTACGGAACTACGTTCACTGGTGGGTGCTGTTAAATACTATTCCCATTTTATCCCTAATTTTTTTCCTCGTGCAAATTGTTTATTTAATATTTTGACATCCAATTCATTCGAATGGGGTGAGGAACAAGAGTCATGCTTATGAGGTCTACCGAAATTTCTTCAAAGTGATGCTGTTATTCGGACTTACGCCCCTAGTGTACATTCTTTGATTATTACAGATGCATCACCTGTGGGTATTGTCGCAGTTTTTGAAAAGGAAGGTAGACCAGTTATTTGTGTTTCACGCAAACACACTGTTACTGAACAAGGTTATTCACAAACTCAGCGAGAAGCATAAGCTGTGTTTTGGGCTGTTAAAATACTCCATAAATATTTATTCGGAAAGAAATTCACTATCGTTACTGGTCACGAAGCTTTAAAAATTATTTATCATCCTGAAAAACATTTAGCACGTTCTTCAGCTGCTATGGTTCAACGATGGAGTATTGCTTTCAGTACATACGACTATACGGTCAGCACAGGAGTACCAAACAAATTCAACACGTTGAATACATTTCTCGACAACCATTACAAGATAGACCTGTTAATACTTCAAACTGTTTGTCAGTGCAACCTTTACCGGTGAGACGTTAAGGTCTCATTAGAGAAACTCGTAGATACTTTGGATGTATACTCAGTGCTATACGGGAAGGTTGGAATCTAATCTGAAATGTGGAATTCCTGTCTATTTTTCAAAAAAGGATGAGTTATCCACTATCATTGATGACATTTTGTGTTTAAGTAATCTCGTTGTTATTCCTCCTTCATTACTTAAAAATGTCCTTGAAGTTCTTGATAGTGTACATTTAGGTGTTGAGAAAATGAAGTCCTTGGCAAGGCCCACATGTTGGTGGCCAGAGATAAATGCAGATATGTGTCCTACAGCAAAAAATTGTGAAGAGTGTCATAAGTTGAAAAATCAGCAGAAGTTGCATATTATCGTGGCGCAGATCTTCCACCAACCATGGAGATTGTGATGAAGAATGTCGGGAAATCTCTGATGCAAATTCTAGATGTCAATTACAGGAACAGGGTGAATCTGTTCCAATTCCGGTTGTTAATTATAATGCTAATGAGTACACTCTAGATAACACAAATTCTTTATCCGATACACTGTCAGACAGACACAGAATGAACTTGAGGACAAAACGTACAATCGATCACAGACATTTAGACTCCAATTTAAGCTCTGACGGATGTGGTGTTTATATGAACTGATGATTCCATTGTACTTGCTGAGTGCTTGATTTCGAATTCCAAATACAGTATATTCGTTCGTGTCTGTCTGGTTCCTCTTGATCCAATGCGTTATTTCTGGGATTCTTAGTTCGTACTATAATTCAAATACTCCTAATAATCACATCGTGTTATTTCTGAGATTCCTAATTTGTACAATAATTCAAATACTTCTAATTGTCACAGTACA